AGGAATGAAGCTGTTTCTCTAATAGCCCCGTTGAATAGGAAGGCGAAGGCTTTTTGAAAAAGTCTTTTTTGTCTGCATTTTTTTTTCTTTCTATTTAAAGAGTAAAGAGAGAGGGCTTCAAGTTCTTAGGAAGAGCCATACGAGGCAGCTCACGTATAGTTCGGGAGCCAAGCCCCAGCACGGGGGCTTAGGTCAACACTTATATAATAGCCAGTCATCCATTAGAAGCAGACAAAATGGTGATGAATTGCGATTGGTCTAAACCTTGAGACTTGAAAAGAGGTGCCCTCGCCCGGAAAGATAAAGAATAAGCGAAAAAGTACTACTATCGGCCCCACAGATAAGATTTGATCGGAAACGCCCCGGACTCTAGATATTGAGCTTCGCATACCCAATTGAGCCAAAAGGACTTTGAAAAGGAGCGCTCCTAGAAAGAAGAGCGAGACCTTGCGCGTACCACTCTCCCACGCAGTTCCCATTAAACAACGGAGAATCTCTCTAATCTCGAGCAACTGGACCTTTTTCCGAGTTAACGGAATAGGAGGATTTTTGATTTATAGGAACTGCCGTTATGAAATTGCTAGTTTCACCCTTCTCACTAAACACAACTCTACAACGCCTAACAAAACCTTCTTGCCCACCGGATCAGAACAACTAGAATAGAATAAAGAGCTTTAAGTTATAGCTTGCTGGTCTTATCCATGTCCGAAGGCTCGCTCTTCCTTCATTGCTTCGGGCTGTCTTTCTATTAATTATGACTTTCGAAAGACTACTCTAATGAATCTCCTTCGGACCCTTGCCTGGGATAGAGCTTTGCTTTGGTTGGTACTTAAGAAGAACCACTCGCTATCATGAGCTTCCTTAAGAATAAGAAATAATGAATACAAGAGTCCCGGCTTCCTTGCCTTAAGTAAGGTATCCTTCGCTTAAAGCTGCTTGCTTTCTTGAATTTCCTTTCTCATAACAACTAGCTATCAGCGGCTTGGCTTCTTCTTGCTTGATTAGTTCATACCTAAACTAAGATTATAGCTTGCTTACGGGTCTGACTTCTGAGCCTGCCTGACTACTACTACTCGTATTCGCTTTTAAGAGCTATCAGTTCGAGCTTTCTTACTGGTGCTTGGTATTGTAACCTCAAAAAAGGGCAGTTGAATCTGCAACTAATTGTTGACCCCATTCATATACTTTCTTTTTATTGTTGGCCTGGCTTCGCCAAGGAGGCTCCCTTTCAAAGAATTGATTCCACTTCTAGATCTCGAATGTGGGGAAAGTCTAAAGTGAAAGTCTCAAACTATTCCTTAGGCGGTTGACTACTCTTTACATTGCAGAAGGGAAGACAAGAAAGACAAGGGCATACGAGCCGACTAGCTATTTAAGCTGACTCTGATAGGCCTTCCTCTTCTTGAGGCTGACTTCCAGTTCCAGGATGCCTCTTATAGGTCTCATCTTCGGCGAAAGAAGTTTGATCGTCTACGGAAGATGATTCCCCGGTATCAGACTCTACTATCACATCATCCGATGAAGCAAGCTACATCGGTTACCAAAGCATCTTCTGACTGAGCAGCAGAAAGTGATTCGAAAACAGAACCCGATTCCGTGGCAACATCCGATGGAGAAAAAAGTGCTTTGCCGTGGCCGACTTTCATTCAAATGGTGAGTCCAGACATTCTTCTAGCCGAAGCACACCTTATAGAAAGGAAAAAAGTCCTAAAGGAAAGACTCCATAACCAAAAGGCAAAGGCATTGGTCCTACCAAGCGTCCTACTAGGAATATAGGAAGAAAAGCATTCCATCTTCACTCTCCTACAGTACAGGTGGACTAAGAGGCTCTCTTTAATAAGGAATTCCTTCCCCCTTCTCCTTCAAAACTTATTAGTCTAAGTGAAAATCGATTTTAAGAGGAGTAGTATAAGACTAAGAGGAAGTGATTTAGCGAAAGAAAAGCCTTGGTGTTGAGCACTACTGAAAAAAGCTATTAAACAAGAGGTTAACCATCGTTCATTTTCGCATATGAACAACGCATGACCAAATAGGCTTTATCATACGAAACATGCCTAGTCTTGTACTTATACACTGTATGAGCCATACGCATCCGTATTTGATCCGACCACAATGTCTTAGGTCAAAGGACTACATTGTGCACTGATATAATCAAATGATAAATCATTGACTACATGCTTGTCCAAGTGATTTGTCATTATTCGGTCACGTTCGAAAAACAGTTCACCAACTACTAATCCACACTAATGCCCCAATGACATGACTATCATTGTCATCCGTACTTATATCAACTCATGATATCTTTCGGAAGCATCTAGTATGCCTACTATGCAATATAGTTGCCCAAATTATATTGCTTCTATAGGGAACCTTTTAATAAATTCATTTACCGATTAAATGAATCATCTGGACAATTCATATACATACTTTATTTTAAATGAATGACTGAATAAAGGAAGCAATTTATCTATGTGAATTGAAGAACTCTTTCTTCTATTATTTATGATATATTGATACAAGACAAAATGCTCTGAAACCGACAACACCAACAGTTTCTAGGGCATACACTAAGACACACTAACAATGAGATATTTTGGTTTGCTTACCTTATTGACATGGACCATGTAATGCTTCTCTTTCTCTAGCTAGTACACTTGTGAAATATACAGTAAAGCTATATATATATATATATATATATATAAAAGAAAATATAAATGTAGATGAGTATAAAATAGAGGGCCTATACTAATTTTTCTTTATATACAAAACTGTACATTAAGTAACCAAAATACTCAAAAAAATAAACTCGACAATGTTGCCAGACCCTTCCGCTTCTTGACACTCCATCCGACCGCATCTCATCTACTACCTGCAAAAACATTGAAAACAACTGGGTAACACTAATTGCTCAGTAAGTAAACCTGCTTTACTCCTATCTATCTCTGTTGCTCTTATTCTGATTTTCTTTCCTTACATCAAACTTCTCTATTCTTCTCTGCTCTTTCTATAACTCTAGTTTCTCACTACTCAAGATAGTGGAAATGGTATCATGCATAAGTATAATGCATATGCACAAATGCATAGGATGTGCATTTTCTTTTCTGTTTTTCTGTTTTCGTATTCTGTTTTATGTTTCTTTGCTCTATATTTCTTTCTTTCTTTCTCTTCTAGTATTTCTTTCTTTCTTTTCTTTCTTTCTTGTCAATCGAACTCGGTTGAGGCATGGATTCAGAACCCTGGCCGTGTGAGTGTATTTTCTAATTCTTTCTGGGCACAGTCCTCATCCACATGCACTTCTAACGGACTGTACAATTCTTTTTTCTGATTCTGAGGCCGCTCACTAAAGGCGGATTGCATGCGGGACTAGTCACTCACGGGTTCCCCATCACAACAACCTTCTCTTCTCTTCTTTAAAAGTGTTCTTTATTATTTCTCTTTTCTTTCTCTTTGTTCTTTAATGTTCTTTAATGCTCTTTAATGCTCTTATGAGTATGTATGCATGTAGATGGGCTTATGCTTGTTATGCTTTCTAAATTCACATGTTTAGAAGAAATAATGCTATATGGCATGTGAACATGTCATTCTTTACCATCTACAAACTCATCTCAAGATAACAAATAATTATACTCATGCATGCACCTCTCTTTGACATTTCAAACAATTTATATGCACACACAAACTCTAAATTGGCTACACTTCTACATCTTTCTTAAGCCACCAAAATTTGGAGCCAAACTCCTTAAAATTATCATCAAACCTGGCTAGGAATTACACTTCACAAATTCTACTCTAATTCTTCCATAATTCATCCAAACTCTCATCAAACACCACATACGCAAACACCACATACACAAACACCACTTCTCATGGTGGAATTCCAACCATCATTCAACATCAATTCCATCAACAATTCTCATACAAACACATACATGCATAAAAGAAGTTCTCTACACAATCTTGCTCCAATCATGACTAGGTTTGGATTTACTTACCTTAGATGTGAGCAATCCAAACACTTTAGTAGTCTTCCTTGATACAACCTTCTTTCTCTTAAACCCTATGAATACAAATCATAAGAATCAACACTTTAAAACATTAATCTCACATCTTAGTGTAAGGATCTCACCTAGGGATGTTTGGGATTCAAATTCCACCAACCAAGATCTATGAATTTCCTTGAAAAGTGATTGAAGAAATTTGAGAGAACTTGGGTGGAAAGTGGCGTGAATGGAAGGGGAAGAATGGCTGGGGTTTTATGCTTGAACCTTTAATATACATATTATTACTTATAGCTTCCCATTTTACCCTTGCACTTTCTATGAAATTCCATCTATGTCCCTTAGTCAATTACCATAATGTCCTCTTTCCATTGCATTCTCCATGAAATTCTATCTCTTTTCACTCCCTACACTTTCAACTAATTATGAGTGGAAAGACCATTTTGCCCTTGAGCAATTTTTCCCCTAAATTTCACTAAAATTTCTCGGGAGTTCTTCGCCCCGGCGAAGCACTTTCTTTGCCCCGACAAAGCATGCATTTTCTGCCATGAATTTGGGCAGAGAGTACATTGCCGCGACGAAGTCTGCAAAATTTTGCCCAAGCTGATTTCATGCATTCATCTTGGAATAACCACTACAACTAAGGGAAATGAGATTACGTACCTCGATGTGGGTATTACAAACCACACACATTTCCTTTTGGAAATTCAAGTTTTGGTAGTCCTTTAACCACTTCTT